GATTAGATGATTGATGTGGCAAAATATACCAAATTATCATCAGTGGATCTTTGGCTTTTGTGTTTCATGGAAGCATAAGCTCCACCTTTCTACAGGGGGTTAATCCCTTTCTGTCGTAAGTCAGAAAATGCAATGTAAACTTTAAGTTAGTTAATTAGATTTTTTAACTGTAAGATAGTTAACTAGAGTTTTTAACTACACGTTTACAAGCTGGCCACAGCAGGTCAAAGTCCCACGTATTAAAAACAATTAGTGGAATAACAGAATTGCTGTAAATAACGCTTGAGTCAATCGAGCGAGGATCCAGCGGCTGGTTCTTATGCCACGTGGATTTACAGAGCTAGTTCTTTTGCCACACACGTCACGGGGTTATTCCACGTCAGCTATTGAATTGAATTGAATTGGATGTGACACGAGCTCTCGAGCGTGAGAGAGAGAGAGAGAGCGCTTGGATTTCGTGGATGCGCGGCGCTACATTGCCGTCCAATCTCTGGCGGTAAGCAGCTCTCCGGGGATTTCACTCAGGGCTTTCTCGATCAATCGTGTAGAAACAGGGCAGATTTTCCGGAAATTTCCAGCTCCTGGGGTTACAAATGCCGTGATAGGCACGGCCGCGGTGCCATGGAGTGGATTGCGCTGTGGTTCCTTGTTCTTGGTGTCATCATCCATCGAGCTTCTCCCTCCACGTTCGAATCTGACAGTAGGCATTCTTGGTTGAGTGGAAAAGTTTGGTGCTGACGATTGTTCTTGTCTGATTGATTCTATCGCAGCGTCTGCGCTGAGGCTCGTGTCACGGGGCTTTCGCAATGCCAATTTGCAGTGGAGTGGTGGTGATCCGTGTGGATCTCGGTGGATTGGAGTTTCGTGCAATTCATACAACGTGACCAAGTTGTAAGTTTGTCTTTCTTCCATGTCTTCTTCGATCTATAGGATATTCTTTTCTTTTATAGGATACTGAACAACATGAATATAGCCGGGCAGCTGCCACTGTCGATTGGAAACCTTGCAAATCTCCAAACACTGTGAGCTCTCTCTCTCTCTCTCTCTCTCTCCTTTTCGACTTTCACCAGCGACAAAGCTCACACTTGTTTTGTGTTCGCAGGGATTTGTCGTTTAATCCCGACCTGACTGGGCCTCTTCCCAAAACTTTGGGCCAGCTGACGAAACTGGAATTCTTGTACAGTTCTTTAGTTAGCATTTCCGTTTTGCTGACGCTCATCTGCTTTAGAAACTTGCAATCGTGTGGCTTCACTGGAGATATTCCGTTCGAGATTGGAGGGCTGAAGAGCCTCAGATTTTTGTAAGCTTGTTTCATCTCGCTCTCGTTGATTTAACACCGTAACAAACCTTGCCAGGGCCTTGAACATGAATAAGTTAAGCGGTGTGATTCCTCCAGAACTGGGAAGGCTTTCGTCAGTCTACTGGTTTGATCTGGCACAAAATCAAATCGCTGGCCCACTGCCTGTCTCATCTGGAAACTCTCAAAACATTGGGCTTGATAACTTGACAGCGGCAGTTCACTTGTAAGAGACCGTGCGTGTTAGTGTACCTTCTAACTTTGTGTTTATTTTTATTTATTTTTTTGTAGCCACTTGAACAGTAACAAGTTCACAGGTTCCATTCCGCCAGAAATATGTTTCTTACCTGAACTCAAGCACTTGTACGTATCTTTCTCATTTTCTTGGAGGTTTTTGGACCTGTTGTCCTTCAGGTTACTGGACAATAACGGCTTCTCTGGAGAAGTTCCCGATGAAATTGGAAACTTTTCCAAGCTGACCATTATGTAAGTCGTTGATAGCTAGAATACGATCTCGTGTAATAGTGTATTTTCAGGAGACTTGACAAAAATCAATTTACTGGATCACTGCCGAGCAGTTTGGGGCGGATATCAACCCTCTTTGAAATGTAAATAGCTAATATAGTTACTACTGTGCACTCAAGTTTTGTTTCATTTACAGAAACACCAATGATAACGCTTTTACTGGAACGTTACCTGATCTAAGCGGGTTGAAAGCTCTCCAACTAATGTAATATTTCTTCTTAACTTGGAGTGGACCTGATGCATGTGTGTATGCATAACAGAAGCGTTGGAAACAACTCCTTTTCTCCTCAGCCAGTTCCATCATTTGCAGGCTTGACTGGACTCCAGACAATGTAGGTGAATTTTGTTAGTTTTTGTTTGAACTTAACATCTCTTAATCTGCAGAGAAATCAACGATGGCAACTTGATTGGTCCCATTCCAGACGGGTTCTTTCAGTTCGCTAGGTTGGAGTCTGTGTAAGTATATTACACTAAATATCCACGGAAACTAATCACATCTTCACAGCTCCTTGACTGGCAACAGCATAAATGGGACGGTAGATTTCACGGGTGCTTCACCATCCCTTGTTAAGGTCCAGCTGGATAACAATAAGATCACAAACCTGAACATCGGGAGTGGCGTGTTTACTCTTTCGTAAGCGTCTGTTCCAGCATGTCATTCATCTTATTGTGGTGAAATGTTGCTGCAGCCTGGCAGGGAATCCAGTTTGTGATGGCGGTAGGCTGTCCGATGTAGTATGTGCAAGCAAACTATTGACACCATGGAAAGAAAATGTTACCTGCGCAAATTCCTGCTCTGGTCAACAGGCGCTAAATCCCAATACGTGCTCCTGCGGTTTGCCGCTCAACTTCAGATTCCAGTTCAATGCCCCGACTTTTTCAAGTATGACCACAGACAGGGCCAACATTCTCAGGAAGTCGCTCTATGATGGACTCAGTTTGTCTCCCGACCAAGTCTGGGTGGACACTGCAAACTTCACGAGCGACAAAAGGCTGCTGGTTGAAGTTTTTATACAGCTTCGTGTGAGCAGAGACAGCGCTTCATTTATATACAGCCAGATCAGTATGCACCAGCTTAACTTGGACTACTTTGGTCCATACTCGCTGATCGTCCGACCCCCCCCGATAGGTAATACTTTCTCTCTCCAACATACTAAGTCTTCTCGTGAACTTTATAGGCGAAGAGGGAGAAAAGCATGGGATCAGTACTGCTGTCGTCGTGGGAATTATTGTTGCTGTTCTGCTTGCCGCCATCATCGTGATATTCATCGGGATCTATGCATATAAGCAGAAGAGAAGAGCAGACAAGGCCATAGTTTCCAATCCTTTTGGTAAGTGCAGACTAAAGATTTCCTTGCTAATCATGCCTTGTGAACAGCATCTTGGGGAAGCCGTGGAAAAGACAGCGGCACTGCTCCACAACTTAAGGGAGCTCGATTCTTTTCCATTGCGGAGCTGAAGAAAGCTACGAATAATTTCATCAGCAGCAGTGAGATAGGATCTGGCGGGTATGGGAAAGTTTACAAAGGAACTTTGTCGACTGGAGAGGAGGTTGCGATAAAAAGAGCTCAAGAAGGGTCATTGCAAGGCGCAGGCGAGTTTAAGAACGAGATTGAGCTGTTATCTCGCGTACACCACAGGAACCTTGTCGGACTTATCGGCTTTTGCTACGAGAGTGGAGAGCAAATGCTGGTCTACGAGTACATGCCGAATGGAACAATAAGAGAGCACCTGCCAGGTACATAGCAAAGTGATTTCTAAAGACGCGTCAACTTTTTTCTTTTCACAGA